CAAGGTAAAAAAATATGATCCACCTTATCTCTCCCCCCCCCCTCTCCTGACTCGGTTTACGGAAAAGGCTTGACTGAATTCCTCGCAAAGCTGACTTATCGCCAGCTTAAGTGAAACAGTAGCTTAGATTATATTATAATTCAAAAGTACGCGGGCAATGAATTTTTGTCTCGAATTACTACAAGACCTCCCGGAATAGTGTTCTCAACTTTGTTAACGACGCCGGGAATGGATTTCATTTGTGTGTATTTCATTTTTTTCCAGACAAGTTTGACACCTTACTTAAAACGGACGGTTCTAAAGAAGTGGCGATTTTGGCGTTTTCTTATTTTATTTTAGGTTTCAAAAATCCCCCCTTTCGCTAGCTCAAGAATATTGTAAATAGTATTTCTCATCTATCGACGCAGTTTCTATCGTTCTGGAGGCGGGCCTCTAGCCCGTCCAACGAGGGACATCTGTGGCGCATGCGCTGATGATGAGGAGAACTCTAGCTTTGTTGGTTTTAGTTTTAGTAACAGTTTTACGGCACTTGCAACACAATAAGGTCATAAAGGAGCCGACGATTAGAGGTGTTACAAGAGATGACAAACGCAAAATAGAAGGAGGGGGAGATAAGGACGATAGGAGTTTGATAGGAAAGAAGAAGCAAACCACACCACAGCACCCGCCAACCTCCCAACGCTTTGTCGGGGTCGTTGACCCAGCAGGATGGACGCTCCAACAAAACTCCGCGGACCTTTCTCCGGTTCTGTTGAGGGGAAGGAAGGACAGCTCGCTGGTACAGTAACGGTTGTTTGATGTGCTCCAGGCATCAGAAGCAGTGAGCTGGCGACCGTTTACAATGGCGGCTCATTTCCCATCATCCCCTGGGTCACGCATGGCGCTTGCACAAACAACGAGCTGTGTGTTTGCTTCTTTTCACTCTCCGACACATTGGGGAAAACCCAACCTAAAACAAACTAATAAAAAAATTTTTGAAAAGAATAAAGAACAACCAACCTTTTTCTGTTTTTGGGTCAAAGGTTCGGTTTTTGGCTTAGGCAGTTGTCGGGGTGTGTGTGTGTGTGGGGGGGGGGGGGGCAGTGAGGGTGTCGGGGTGTGTGTGTGGAGACACAAGGTTGTGTCAGTGAGGATGGGGGGTATATCCACCCTCCGAGACGAAAAACAGCCGCTCTCAATTTGATGTACAAAATTTGTGTGGCAACCACTAAAAGGGAAAGGGGGAAAAAAGGCCTAAATTGAAATAACAACGATTTGAATCTTTTAGATTAACGTTCGTCTGGAAAAATGTACAAAAATGTTCATTGTTTGCAACCACAACAACGATAACAACAACAGTAACAACATCAACAGCAAAACAACGACAACAACAACAATAACAACAACAACAACAACAACAACAACAACAACAACAGCAACAATAGCAACAACAATAACAATTAATATTCTGAAATCCGGCTCTCTGTACCACTTTGTTTTTGTTTTGTTTTTATTTACTGCTCCCGTCAATTTGATCATCTGGATCGCTAGAAAAGCTCTAAAGGTGTTTAATAGCAATTGCATTCATCAGTGCTTTAAACCCTTAAGCTTCGCACAAAGGCTTAGTATTTCATGTCTTGTCTTCTGCATCAAAAGATTTCAGATAGATTTGATGTGCTAAACCCTTGTTAATTTCCTCTCTTGTTTAAATTCTCTGATTTTATCGTTTTTTAGTACGGAAATTTGTAATTGTACGCTGAAGTGGATGATATCAGATTGCTCTTTTTTTTCTCACTTTTTTCAACGAAATGCCACACTTTCACAGGACGTGGATGCCACTCCCCTGATACTGTACTCACCAACTTACTTAATAACGTTATTTTCTTTCCGTTATTTTTTTTTTCCTATTGTTTTTTTTTCCGAGTCAAGTGTCTTTTAGCTTGTTGCTTTGTCGGTTGTTTTGGTTGTTGTTTTTTGTCGTGTTTCAGTTTGTTTTGTTTGATTGTTTGTTTTATTTTGTATTTATTTATTGAAATAATCTGGACTTTGTTATACATGTAGTTACAAAGCTGGGGTTAGAGGGTAACTTAAGAGAAAGAGAGGGTACGGGATCGTGTATCCATTTACAAGTTTGGAAAAAGGGTGAAGGGGCGGGGTAGACGGTTAGGTGCGTTTCCCTACTTTGCTGACGTCATCACAGATCTGTGAGCTCTCTCGCTCCCCCCC